GTCCGCCAGCCCAGGGACGCCCTGAGACGCTATCGACTAAAACGAGGGAACACGAGCACAGGGTGAAGCTCTTTAAAGCGGCCCTGTCTGTATTTTTATTGGTTATTATAGCGACACCCGTTTGTCCCTCGTAGCCGTTGTAGCAGTGTGTAACAAGTACAACGTTTTGACCTTCAAGGTGGTGCCGGTGAGAGATATTGATAGATTTGATTGATATGTGGGGTTTAACGTCCCAAAACCACCATATGATTATGAGAGACCCCGTAGTGGAGGGCTCCGGAAATTTCGACCACCTGGGGTTCTTTAACGTGCACCCAAATCTGAGTACACGGGCCTACAACATTCCCGCCTCCATCGGAAATGCAGCCGCCGCAGCCGGGAATCGAACCCGCGCCCTGCGGGTCAGCAGCCGAGTACCTTAGCCACTAGACCACCGCGGCGGGGCCCGGTGAGAGATATCTTCTGTACGTTGTAGAACAAAAAAAAAGATAGTGTTTAATGTACAGGCCAGTAGCTTCTGAGGGGCATGATAGCCACGAGAATTCGGCTTTTAGTAAACGCGCACGCTGCAAACTTTTTAATGTTCAACAACGCACAGAACACAAGAAAGGGTTGCTACGTTATACTCGCTGGACATAACCTCCTAGGTTTTAGAAAGGTTTAGCGAGCGTTGGGCTGCAGTACCATGAATACAGTGAACTAGTATATACCATGAACTCGGAGTGGTTAAAGGTGTGAAGTAGACACGAAGCGCAAGCCGTAAGAAAGTGTGCGTGTGCCTCCTCTCGTTCAGTCCTTGGAATGTCCGCTGGATGGCGGTGCTTCTATATGAGGAATATATGATGAAAAGATGCGAGATGGTGACACTTGGAGTGTTGAATAGGTGGATGAACGGACACACAGACAGATGCATGGACGGACGCATGGATGGCTGCACGGACGGATGGATGCATGGACGGACTCAGGAGCGGATGCCTGGACAAAAGCAGGGACGGACTCACAGATTAATGTGCGGACGCATGAAGGATGCATGCACGGACGGGTGGATGGACGCACGGGCGGGCACACAGACGCACGCATGGATAGACAGAAGCAAGAACGAATGGACGGACGGATGCTTCGCCCCACTATCCATGATTCACTCCGTGGATATGCTGCCATTCCTTCATTTCCGCCCACTTTATTGCATTTAGATTTTTTCCGGCTGAAAAGCTTTCAAGTGTGTGTCCCTATGCTACCATTTTTGCTGCACTAATCTCTTACGTCTACAGTCTATGAAACCAGCTAGTAATATATGTGAAACAACAAAGTCTTCAAAAAAGTTGGAGGGCCTCTTCAAAGGGTAAAGGGCTCGTTGCACCGAAATTCCAGCGTCGGCGTTTGTTTCATTGGTCGTGGGTGAAAAATTATGATCTCTCCGTCACCGTAAAATGGGGAAAGATGCAAACTAATTAGGGAAAACTTGGTGAGCTTGAACAAAGATGAA